TGGTGTAGTTGAGCGGCGCGTTGTCGGTATAACTCCAAGTGTTTCCATTCAACTTATTGACGCCGATGAAGTAGGAAGAGCCGATCTTCTGCTGCTGTGCTGTCTCTGAAAATTTCCTGTGATAGTTTCCGATTATTTTCGGCATATTTCATGTTATCGGTCACAAAACCTACCAGCAACCATCGCATTCTCCAGTCCCCCTCCCAGAGATATGAGATGCCCGCCAAGATCGATACAGGCCTCTTCGGCCATGTAGAACGGAAGTGGATCGGTAGAGAATTTGTAGCATCTATAAATTGGCCCTCTTCTTCTCAACAACTTTGTTCTATGTAGCTAACCTGGAAAATTCTTCGTGGTAGATAGTGTTAGCCGGGCATGTAAATGCTCCCGTCAAAGGAAGTAGACCTAGCAGCAGAAACTTCATCGGAGAAGCTCTTGCTCTCTTATCAGGTCCCTATTGCTACTGCACGCCACTGTTGCAACGAAATCGAGGGACTCACTCCGTCAATAGGATCTTCTCCATCAGAGTACTGAGGAAGGAGCATTTTTGATCGTTGATAAGTAAAATTGAGTTGTTTCGACTTTAAACCTTTAATAGGTTGCTCCTAACTGGATTGAGATACATTAAATTATAAATATGATTAAAAAAAAGAACAAACTTCATTTTCTTGGTTACGCTAACATATGGATCTTTGATTGAATACAATATCGCCATAACCTCTGCAAGAAAAACGTGACTTCACATAAAAATCCTTCGCAAGCGCCGTATCGTCACAAATTCTTTAATAGATATTAGAAGGAGAAACGGTATTAGACTCTCTTCGTCCGACGAATCTTAAGGTATGCTACACTACAGGAAGAAATGAGGTGTACGATGGATACTGCAGAAAGTCAACACAGCGAGCCCGTCTGAAACTTTGCGTTAGGGTGTTATATAACCTATTTTATCATTATTTAAACCTATCTTATAAAACCAATATCTATTTTGAAGAAAGTTATGACACCTGCGACGGAATTCAATGTGAACTTACTTTCGCATAAGTTATGAAAGTATTGTATGTACCGTTTCTTTGACCGTTGACTAACAATAAGCTTGACATCTTCGTAGTAAAATGAGGATTTACAATGTGATGGTTGATGCGATGTCTCCTAATAGGTGGGAGCTGTCTGGAGTTGAGCCTTACTTGAAAAACCTTTTACTACTGTCTTTGAATGCATTTGGAAAAACCTTAAGCAACACCGAGAGCCAATTCCCCTCGTAAACTTCGTCGTCCTCCAAAGATTGATAATATTCTCACATGGGAAGGTTTATTAGAAATCCTGTAAGTAAGGGGTTAAAAAAATGCGATGACATATGCAAAGGAAGTGAACTAGAAAGCGAAATCCTAAGTTGACAACCTCATAATTTTCCAGAGAATTTTCAACATACTGTTGCGTACTTT